AAAATTTCTGGAGTGTCACACGACTGTCGCAAAGTTGACTCCGGTCCGCACGGAAACGAATGCTGCAATAAAACGCGCCTGAGCGAGACTCGCAGGGAGCAGAGAAGCTTCCAGTAATTTTAAAATCGATGAGTGTCTGAGATCTGAGCCGGTCGCTTGAATGGTTGAGCTTCGCGTTCACCGATGAATGCGGTGTACACAGTCAAATGTGGACGGTAGACTCGGGCTCGCTGTTTTGAGCGGAATTCTTGATTAAAATCATCCATCGCCTTGTTCTCCATACCAATGGGCGTTTCTTAGAAAATCGTTGCAATGAATGATACCTTCAGACAATGTCCCAGACGAGGCACTCAATCTGGCTGATTCTGCTTCTTAGTGGGCGCCGAGCGAGTGGAAGGCTCTTAAAAGTGTGTGCAGAAGATTGATCGAACTCTCATTGGGCCCCATTCGCAGAATATTGACCTTCGAGTAGGATTCGGAAAACACCGTCGATTAGGCGGTTGCCATCTTGAGTTTGACGCAATCGATACGCGAATCCAGCATCTTTCTACATATTCTGTTCTCTGTTCACCGATAGAACGGACGAGAATACGAAATGAAAACTCAGATCAGTATTTGCCAAAGATAAGGGAGCTCTTTCCGAATTTCCGCAATGGGTTGAGCCGGTAATCAGACCGCCTGCAAGAGACGAATCATCAGTATCTCAATAGCGATCGCGCGTGAAAGTTCAGTCGGGGTAAGAAGTAATAGGTATCTATCGATGCTTTATCATCGGGCAAGGCAACGTGCTGGTGGAGAACACCAAGGGAGCCGAGCGAATTTTCATTTCACGAATTGGTGAGAGAAATCGCTCCCATGTACAATCGATTTTGTGATAACTGCCTTCAGCTAATGAAACTGGTTTCGCTTCTGCCATATAGCATCGGCTACCCAAGTGATCGCCTTCCCTCTGGGGATCAACCCCATCGTCGACGATTGTGGCGAAAGTGAAAATGGCCAGCGCTCACTGTCGGCACTCTTGTTTCGATCGTCCGTTCCGGACTTATCTTCGCGCTCGCGGAGTAATCTTAGAACTTGCCGAACACTATCGGGCGCGAGTGAATGCTGCTCGATCCCAAACTGAGACCTCTCGCGCCCAACGACATCTCTATTGGAAATTCTCCTGATTTGAGAAAAGCTGTACGCAGTGACGGAGCACAAAAACAAGGCAGGCGGGCCAGCCGCTCGGCCGGTCGGCCGTCCGAAGGTGCATTAGTTGTGTTTCTGTTTTTCCAGTTCACTGCGAGCTGCGCTAACGATTTGAAGAAGTCGTGCCGCGAAGATATAGACAGATTCGACCGAGCCTCCCCAGAAGATCGAATATGGTTCGAAACCATCCAGCAGAAAGCCAAAAAAGAAACCGAAACCGGCAGATAAGGGTCAGGAATGGCGTTAAGGATTTCGAAATGAGATGGATATTCAGAAGGGATCTAGTTGTCTGTCTGCATCGACCGCTCTCATTGGAAAGAGGTCTGATAAATTAGAAGAAATTGTGGCGGGAGAGAAGCTCGGAATCGATTCCTTGTAGTCCAAACTCCTTTCGGATGCCCCCTATTGAAACAAGTGACTTCCGCACCGGATGTCCCCTCCAGAACGCATCGGCGGAATCGCGGAAGAGTACGCTGAGCGAATTAGCCGACGCGGATATACGACTGCTCCCGTAGTCCGTAGCATCCGGTGTTTTATTCATCGAGGAGCGCGCATCAAACTATCTCAAGGGATTGAGTTGCTCGAGAGCCAGCCTCAGAAATTGTCCCCCGGGGCCGTGTATCTGATTGCGGTCCGTGCAACAGAGACCGACCACCTCGATTCCGCTCTCGGTGGTTTCCACCCACATGTTGGATATAATCCGCGTCTGATGCTTTATTGCGGATCTACTCCGATTCTCTGGGAGCGTTTATGACATTAATGCTCGTGACCGGAAGCGCCGAGATTCGCAGTTTAGTGACCCGAACCACTGAGATCCGCAGTCTAGAGTGCTATCTCTCCCTGATTTCTGAGGCACACTATTCCGCCGCGATCCAGGCGAACTCTCTCATCCATCCGTACAATGCTGACGTCCTAAGTACTCCGGCTCCGCTCCTTCAATGGACGTAGGAGAGATCTCTGTTCATTGTTCAATCTCTCTAGAGGAGCGGAGGACACGAAACACGAAGACTCGGATCCCAGCGTACGCTTTCTCCGGGATTTAGTGCCGAGCGAGGCGAAAATAGCAAGGTTGGGATTACGGCTCGGGTATCGTAAGAAACGATGTTGACATTCGAAGCCTACAGCGAGAAAAACAGAAACTGGAACGGAACTGTTCCGATGACTATACGACCGAGTTCAGGGTGACGTTCAGTGTGGGCTCGAGTGACAGGCCTCACTCGGAAACACTGACTCGCAAGACCGACGAGGGAGATATATGGAGAGTAATGGAAAAAGAAGGTACGAAAGTGAGACGGGAAGGAAAATAAAGGCAGGAAAAACGAGGCTGTTCCAGAGTGGCGTCTATTGATGAACTCCAGATAGCCGTTGGAAAAAGGAGCGATGCGATTGAATGGCGACGCAGCGGAGAAATTGAAAAGTTTGCAGCCAGATCTCTGAGCGAAAATCGGGACCATACACTCGTGAGTTCGAGTCTCCACTGGCGACGGCAGAGCAACGGAATCGTCAGGGGGAAAGAAGGTCTGTCCGTCGCTCGCTTGTTCGCTTCTCTTCCGCGGCCGCACTCCTCACCTCACCTGATCAATGAGTAAGTGAGGTGTAGAGAGCAGGGGAAATACTTCGCCAGGAAATTACGACGACCCGAGCGACGTCAAGCGCTGCTCACTCAACTTTGTATCTATCTGACGTTACTGCGCGACTCAATGTTCGATACGGAAATCCCAAAAATTGGGAAATTATCATTTATGGCGCCCGCCATTACCGATGCAGGGGGAAAAAAGAGAAGCGACTCGGAAATCTCGCAGTTGATGTTGTTGCAGCCGACTCCGAGATAGAGCCACCGGGAGTTAGAGCGATAGAATCGTCTCTGAGGAAAAGCGTTCGCATGTATCTTGCCTGTCAGATGAGACGCTCCATGTCGACGGCAGGTGTGCCATTCGACCAGACTTTTAACACGGACCGTGTGGACTTGTTCCTTGAATCAATTCCGGAGCATAGTCTAATGGAAGGGTTGCGTCAGTTGATGGAATTGGTCCATCTCGACTTTGTAATTATATTTAGAGAATTATCGAGCTCGTTATAATCAGATTTTGGGCCAGACGTCAGCCGCTGCTTATCGGAGTCGAATCAGTTCTGAAATGAAGTCCACGATCAGACCGAGAGTCGGCCGCCTAGCCCAATTGGCAGCTCCGACCGAGGCCACGGCGCGGCGCGACGATGCATTCGCGGAACGATTCGGCTTAGAGAGCTCTAAGAGGGAACTAGGATGGGAAGATCCCAACCAACGCAGTGTTGAGTATTCAAAAAAGCTCTCATCTCGAGAGCCCGTTCGGAAGACGCTCTAAATTTCCTCCCCTTGTTCACGGCTGGGAGATCACCGCGCGTTTTTACTCTGAATCGAAGTTGGGATGCGGGATCCCAGGATTCGAATATCGTTGGAGAGCATGACCGTGCGTTTTTTTGAGTCTCGATCGATAGGCCGATGATTGCGACGCAACGCTTCCCATCATTTCATCATGAACGAATATTGTTCTCTTCTTCGGAGTTATGTGCATCGCGAGCGCTCGAGGGCAATGGCTCAGACGTATGCAAGGAGGTGAATGGCGAGCAGATGATCTGAGCAATGGCGTACGACTCGGAAGGAAGATCGCAGGAGACGAGGAAACGTTGAGAATGGACAGAAAAAATGTGTTCGCTCAGTTGAAGATCGAGCAAACGTCAAAGTCAAAACATTCTTATTATCTTTGAAGTTTTTGCCATTTTTTTCTTCCCCTCCTCAACGTCCGGTCTCGTCACTTGGCTTCATTCGCGCTCAGATTCACTGCTCGTAGCGCCTTCTTTTTCTTCTCGCTCGTCTTGATTCTCTCTTCTCCGGGCGAGCCAGGTGAAATGACGGACTTTTCAACAATGACACGCGGATCATGTTCAAACATGATCAGTCAATCCGAAGTCTGTTCGAGCCGACAACTGGAAGGAACGTTATCGAGTCGCGGAAAAAACTCGAGGGCTAAGCCATTTGGAAGTCTTCAATCGAAGACTATCGAGTGCTGAATAGTTTGAATTGAAATCAGCCGCTTCTAAAACGTCCACAGCGATCGAACTGACGTTGAGGCGTCGGACGACTTATCCAGATTGGATCGTGATCGAAAGCTTCGAGTTCTCAAAATGAGCGGGAAATATACACAAGGCTCAATCGGCTGGGATACTGCTGATGCGGTGAAATTCATTTCAGTGTTCGGGGAATATTCTGACATCCAGGAAGTTACGCGCATGGGCCGAACGGTGTTTTCGTCTAGCATCACCTTGTGGTCTTTGATCGGCAGTCTGAAGCAGAAATGGAAGCGCCACCGAAAAGCTTCGAAAGATTATTCTGACAAGCTTGGAACCAAAGAGAACAGCTCCATTTGACTTCACCTTCAAATCAGAAATTCACCTACGTTCTCTCACACACACACAATGCCATCACTGCCGAGGCGGTCACGTAACGCCTTCGCTCCGGATGCTGCGATGTTCGATTTCAATTCATCCTACTGAAGGATTGATCGGCGACGTCGTTCAGGCTACTGACGGAAAGAGCTCCTATATAAAGGAGAATCGAGAAGCTTTCCACAATTATTATGATTGTTCACATGATGTTTTCGACTTGATTGACTCTGGATGTCGAAATATTGAGGATGCGTCGGAACCAGGAGTGATTATATTGGAGTCACATGTGTTTTTATACATACTAGATGCACAGAGTGTATGGTATGAGTGGTATATATATATTCATTTAATAATTCATTTATTTACACAAACATTTCCATGTTTCAGGGATGCATGGGTTCGCTTCTCGGCCAGGGACCGCGTGTCACTTCACGGAAGCGGAGAAGATTCGACTCGTCGAAGAAGTTGAGCGGCGGAAAGCTATCGTCAGAGCCAGGTATAAGAGTCGTGTTTCTCCCTCTCCGGAGTACATAGATATACCGATTATTAAGGCGAGACCAGGTTTCCCCTGAGGGGTATCTCGCGAGAAATGGAGAATCATTGAGGTTGGTCGTGCTAGACTCACGATCGGTTGTCGGGGACAACAGTAGGAAGGCTGTCCGTCAAGAGACGTTTTTCGGATGAGGGGACTATGCAGAATCATACATATGCGAAAAGCGCAAGTCTTGGGGCGTTAGGGATTTCGAATCGAGAAATTCGCCTGGCGAAAGGTAATGGCGGTAAAGATACGCGGCTCTCGAGGAAGAAAGTGATGCCGGGATACTTCTTTGGGCTTGCCGGTCTCGCGATCCGTGGGGAACCTATGAATAGTAACTCAGCTACCGCTTCACGATCGTGATCCTTTCCTCGATTTTTGAGCTCAGGCTCCGAGAGCGATCTTCAGTAACGTCTACCGAACCGACTTCACGGTCACAGAGGCAGAGATGGGATCAAGAATCACTTCCGTTGGATATTCTCTCGCCAAAAAGCAAAGCCGGTCCACTATCCACTATCTAGCCTCATATCTCACCCTCCTTCGACGCGGCTTCAGAGAAAGTTGAAAATACGAATAGGGCGAAGGTTGCAGCGACGTTCCTGCGGACACTTGTCTAATCGAGCAGAAGGTCATCCGAATAAAATAGAAGGTCTATTCTCGTTCCGGGGCCTCGTGAGATTTACTACATTCGGTATTCACGCTGTCCGATCAAGACGTTTCTTAATCCCGCTGGAACCCACGATGCCGTTGTCACTGAAAACCCAGCTTGCGGGATGCCTGTGCACTATCGAGAGATTTCTCTCCAGCCCGGTGAGGGTAAATTTCCGGAATTGAGTGAAGATGATGAGAAGGTCCGTGGCAGTCGAACACGATCCGTGGCGTCGGAGTATCTCCGAAGCATGCACTGATTCCGATCAGAAGGTTCGGCAGAGCGGTACACTGGGGCCCATGCTCTTCCAATGCGGAGCCTTCTATGGAAAAAGTACACTGGAAGAATGGAGAAGCTCACCCCAGTTTGTCGATGCCGATGAGCCCCACGAGCTCTGAACTTAGACTCGTGAAAATCGTTCGCTAGTCGTTGGAAAGTCCTGAGGATACGAGGGTAGCATCCGGATGGTTTTGCACAATGAAATCCAAGTTGGGGGTCCTGAATGACTTCGGGTCGTACGAAGCCGCTTGGAGCAAATGGTTAGGATGCGGAGAGCCTACCGGCCTAAAAAGGAGTTCGCTCCCGCCAGGTTCTAGTCTCTCGATTCGCTACGGCATCCATTACGGGGGTTTGAGTCTCGAGTCGAGACACGCACTTCTCATAACTTTCCATGCATATCCCGGGTTCCCTCCCACACAGACTGCTCATTAGCGAGAAGCCCCCTCCGATCATGTCGCGACGTCTTTCCCGATGTTTTCTGAAGATACCACCGGCAGAGCGTTCATGGCTTTGCAACCGACTCCGTGCCTTCGATCATCTTGGAGCTAGCCTGGAAGACCACAGGAGTCTGACATTTGTGTCCTCTCGACCGTGATGTGGGTCAATTGGGCGGACTGGAGCTCGGTGTACTCTCGGATACGGCTGAGCTGAATAGGACGACAGTCGACACACATGAGGGCGCGCTTCTTCAGGACTCGTAGAATTCTGTGAAGGGTATGCCATGGGAGGGCGGAGGAAGGTCAGTGAGGAAAGAACCGACTATCAGAGCGATCGCAGTGCTCGCGTAGAAGTCGGGGGAGGCGGGGGGCTTTGAGGGACATACCGACAAGATGGCGACTGGAAACATGGACATATGGTGAGGCCACGTCCCACTCATTGGGTGTCACTCCGTGGGAGCAAGAGCCGGTGTGACGTCGTCGTCCAAAGGCATCGGGAGCCTGGCTCATTAAAAGATCCACAAGAGCTTGCGGCCACAACTGGAACTGAAGCTGTGGTGCACGTGGGAGTCGACGGCTCATTGTCTCCGATACGGCAACCAAGGAGAGACATCAAGTCCTCCAGTCGAGAGCTCTCATTCAAAGATGGAGAAAAGAACGAGCGAAGTATACATAGGTGGATCGATCTTCCGTTCGTTCGTTCGTCCACTCGCTCGATCGATTGGGAGAGCACCGGACGGACACATGGAGCCGCTGAACGCTAATGATGGCTAGTTCAAGAAAGCGGTCGACTCGATCCCTTTCAGTTGCCCATCCGTATCCTGCTTCTCAACTGCAGGACCAGCAGAAGGGTGAATTTTGTAACCTGTGGCCCTTCAGAGAATCGGGCTCTCGTGGTGATTCCACAGGCTGTTCGAAGATCCGGGACCATGGAAGCTATCAGATGACAAAACCCGATCCTTCCGAATCTGGTCTGAGCCTCCGAGTGGATTCAATTTCGCAAAGGATGAAGTGAGTGCGTCTGTGATCGTTCCCAAGTTTCCTAGGCCCTCTTCCGAGAGCTCAGCGAGAGAACTCTCCACGATAATTGAACAAGACGCTAAGCTGATGTTGAACTCTTTTCTTGACGTATGCGACATCATCGAGGAACTCGACTGAGCCTCGATGCCAAATCCTCTTCCCAATAATGAATATCCAATAGCGATTCAGCTTCCTCCGACTCCCTCCCACCGCTCTCAACTCCCGCCGGAATATCGCGAGCGACCACGACTCATCGAGTAATGTGATCACGAGATATTCCCATGTGGAATCCTTTCCAAGGTTTCGACCCGGGGATCAATATCGCGGGATTTTAAAAACCCTCATTGATTGTTTCCTGATAGGAACACCGCGTTCGCCGGTCTCGATAGCCGAGAACAGATAATGCGAGCGAAATTAGCGTGCCTACATACCTGGAGACGATGACTTCTCTTAGCTTTGCTCGGATTAAATTGGGGGAGCTTGAGTGGATGTGTCTCTCCGCGGGTGTCCATCGATCGAGTCCACACAATTAGATCGCTACGAGAGCCCTATCCCCCCACCCCGTCTCTCGATGGCGTTTCTGCCCGAGGACTCACGTTTCTTGTTCATGCAGCACTCCAGTCTCTTAGCTAGAGACAATCGATGCTCGATCGGCGTCATGAAAGACTTCGGACTTCTCATCTGCTTGTGACGCGAATGAGAAGACGAAGCGCTCAGGGATCGTCGGAGGTTTCGACTCGGAGTGAGGAGCTCGCACAATTTTGATGATCTACGTCGGCCGAGCGAGCGTGAGCTGTGCTAAAGGACCTCGTTCCAGCGTTCTGAGGATATCCGGTTAGAGGGCCCCTGTAGCCCGAACTCGATGCTGCGTAATAGAGTAGCAGCTTGCCCGAGTTCGGGTAGGCGACTAGGCAACGGACCGGATCTGACATTCTGTCTCTGGGAATTCGCAAACTCTGAAAGTCTCTTAGCGCGATGACCTGAGAGCAAGCGACAGGGGTAGATGTTTGCGTAAAACTACGAGAGCTCCTTGAACGAATAATGAACGACTACTTTGGACTCGAGTCTCAAATGAGCATCCGCTCAATGAAAGAACTCGTTGGATATCTCGAGTGCATCGCGGGAAACGAGATCTTTCACTGTTACGTCATCTTGAGTACTCCGAAACGAAGCGGCGGAGGAGCACTCGTTCCGTCACTGACCAACATCGTAAGATGACTAGACAGCTGGTCTTGGATGGAGTGTCAGGAGCGGCCAAGTCTAAAATGAATAAACACCTCGAGCACGGGGAAGTGGACGAGAGCTTCTTGAAATTGGACCGACTTAAGGGCCATCGCGGAAATCCAGCAGGTGAGAACGTCGACGTCGCTGAAGCCGCGAAGTCAATCTTCTGCCGCCAAGCTCTTGCCTCGTCTTTCCGTCCGTCTCCGAGGGAACTCCTCCCACAGAAAAACCCACACGATATGCCCCGGGTCGATGTTGATAGAGTCACCTCGTAATCGAGACTTACGACTCATTAGAGCAATTACGCAAGAGATCGCGCCGAGCCCTCGGAGCTTAAAAACCACGGACTGAGCTGCGGAGGAATCCCACCCCGCTTATTGACCGAGCAGAGCAGGAATGATGGGTGGACGGGTAAGAGAGAGAGCAGATTGAAACTACCAAGTATCTCTTCACATTTTCGGTCGTCGGGGACGGCGCGGCGTCTGCGGCGACGTCGATGATGTCTTACCGACTGGTCGGCCGCTAACACTCAGAACTTGACTTGACAGAGAGCTCACTATGTGATTGTAGGAAAAAGCTGTGTAGTGAACTGGCCTGATCGTTGGTGAAGGGACCGAAATCGCGTATTATCCCCTGCTCATCGACCGCGGACGCCTTCCCTCCGACCTTTGCAGGATCTCGACGACCACGAGGCCCTCCTGAAACCGCTCGTCATTGGTTCGCGGCGAAAACTGGCGCCGTTTCGAGTTTTTGCAGTTTCTCATGGTTCCGGGAGTCTCGAGAGTGGACCGCGCGATATCGGATAGTCCCGGATGGCTTTTCGCGCAGTATATCAAGCCTCAGAGTGCTCCTCGGGATGTGCGTTTGAATCCCCTGTACCCCCATGGCAACCCCAGCGCACCATACCTACCAGGCCACCGATAGCGTTTACAGCAGCTATAAGTAGCATAGAATGATTCTCGACAACGTGTACCTATGGGAAAATCTCTGGACAGTCTCTCAAAGGAGCTTCAATGTGTCTGTCGCTCCGGCTCTGCTTCCCTCCGGGACATCAGAAGAAAACGAGATGTACGCGAGTGTAAGACGTACGCCCCGTCTAGCCCGAATGAAGCCTAGGGAGAGAGGTTCAAGAGTCGGTTTCTTCATTTCTGTTCATCCTCCGAGTCCCGAAGCCGACGGAATTATTCTGTTAGTCAAACGCGACGTCGAGCTCCGCTGAGGTCTCTTCCGAGACACGGATACAATCCCATTTTTCTCGTTAGAAAAGCTCCCAGAAAGATAGTTTCAGCGGGGGTACATCGCTCCCGATGCTGTCTGAGGCATAAATTCACCGCTGACGGGCTGAGCTTCTG